CGCGCCAGACCTACAGAGTGGTTTACAAAAAATTCAAATTGGTGATTGGTTATTCAAGATCACCATGAGAGAGCGAAATCCAAAAGAAATCACAAGCTTAAAACAATTATTAAAAAAATTAAAAAAACATGGCTTTTCACAAACGAAAACAAATAGAGAAAATCCCTCGGAAAATCCGATTGTATAGGTATACATGAATCTGCTAATTAGGAATAACAGTTAATTTATAATAGCAGTTAATGCAGATGTACTTTAGATTTGCGATGCACCTCTTTGTGCAAGTGATGTATAGGTATAATAGTAATGGACGGATGTTCGATTTTATTTTTCAAGTAATAAGTATCAAGAGGCAGCCGCACAGACATCACGAATTGAGAGGAATTGTTTGGGAATTCTCGGGTGTTGGCAGCGCATTCTCCAGAATTTCTCTAGGTGACATTTATGAATATTGTTGAAAAATTCTTGGGCGTCCTTAAGGAATTGTCGATGTGGTTAATATAGAAACATTATTGTAGAAATCTATAGTTGGGTACATGAATCATGAAACACCGCCCATTCCCCAGGCCTATCCCAATATACTTATAACTAAATGTCAATCTTCAAATGCGTAACTTATTGCGGGGTAAGTAATCTTTTAAAATCACCGAGGAAATCCCTTATTTTCCCAAATCATCTCACCCGAGATTTCAACTAATGATTAGCTCCTCGCATTTTTATATAGTCTGTAAAACTCTAGGTACAACTGATCATCAAAAGTGACTTTGGTTACATTTGGTACTCAAATTGATGCTTATTTTTCTCACAAATTGGTAAAAGAAAGTTTCTCAACGGACCTTAACTCACAAATACTTCGGGGGACCCATTTTAAATAGGCTTGTTACATGTGGCACATGCATCAACTGTGCAAAGTTTGAACCGAATCGGTCGAAGCGTTTGATGCTATGTTACCGTGTACACAGACAGACAGACATCGACTCCCCTAAAGAGTTTGCATCGCTTTGGTCTGCCGTGTGCCAGTTTCGTGATATGGCAAGGGAGTTACTATTTCAACCCCTTGGCCGGCAGTGCATTTTTGTTGATTATTCTCCGCGATTATCATTAACCAGGCACGAAAATATGATCGTGATTTTTTTCATTTTTGACTTATTTTTAAGTGGGTTCGACCAAGGCTGATTTACCAACCCAACCCACTATACATTTACATATCCATGCCCGAACCCGGATTCGAACCAGGGACCCTTAATACCGCAGTCGAGGTTCAACTCCACCGCACCACACGGGCACGAGAGTGGCTTCTTCAACCCCTTCTTCTCTGATTTAAAGTTGAAATAATTTATGTGTTGCTCATAGTTTAAACACCTATATTGAGTGTTCATTTTAAACTACCATCGTCTCATTCACTTTGACGTAATTATCCTCGTAATTATCGGTTGTTATGTGTTCTTTTGTTTCAATGCTGACTCCGATGAATGATATTGCAATTTAAATTTGTGAATGTGGGTATTTTCGTCATATCTCTGCTTAGGAAACAGATATCTAAATGTGGTTTTCACTGATATTTTCACTTTTTCATCTCATTTGATATCATATAAATTATAATAATTATATAGTTCCATTTGAAATTTTCAAGGCAACCTTCAAAGCTTATATTAATGTCAAACCGCGCCCTCTGCCACTCATCGCATTAACTAAAAAAACTCTATTCATGTAAAATCTGATTACACGAATAGAACTTTTTCCAATAAGACCAATTTTATGAAAATCGGTTAACCTAAACCGAAGTTACATTTAACTCCTTAAAGAAATGTACCCCTTCCCCAACTCATATTTTATGTCCTTGAGCGAAAAATATTTTATGAGCTAGAGCTGCATCAAAATGATGCAAAATTCATACAAGCTTGCGATGCACGTTAGGTATATTAGGTATATTTGACGAAAAACTAATTTTTCCCTTAACCCTGAAGCCCACTATAGTGACAAATCTAGAAACTTGAAAAAATTATCCACTCTCTCTTGGTCGCTTTTGTTAACAAAATCGTTTCCCCAAGCTGTGCAATTAACCATGCCATAGAAATGGCCAGTGACCATTATTAATAGGACACCCTGTACATTCGCAAATTTTTAACGAAATCATAGTACATAAGCGATTTGCCGAAAAATAGTTTAGTTTTTAGAATGTGATATTTTTGTCTCAGTCTTAGCGCATTTTTGCAAATTTGATTGTAAAAAGGTAGTACACACTTTGGCTTGCTGGCGGGCTTGCTAGGAGCAAATGAGGGCCCTCACATACAAGAACGCTTGTAGAAAGACGAGGAGTGTACGTGTACCTACCGGGGCCGTGTATCTAACCACTTTAGGAACGGGGCTACATACTGTGGGGTCGGCGACATCTGGGCGCCATCCACGAGCGCGGTTCACTAACGTGATGATTTTTCAGTCTGTTCCGAGGTAGTTTTCTATCTTCTTCCACAGTTCTGGTCCGATTGTTTGGTGTCGTTGGAAAACTGTTGTAAACGCGCATAAGCGCCTGAGACAGCGTGACGGAATTTTGTTTTTCGCCAATAGCAGCTCGAGCTATGAGAAGTGCTACAAACATTTAGTACTATTTTGTGAAGAGTTTCCAGCGAGTTTTCTAACGAAATCCACCAAAATGACGAATTTATATGACGGTGGGGGCGTCAAAAGTGGGTGCCGACAAAGGAAATGTGGTAGCCTCCGACAAGATTTTATTGCTGGTGGAGTTAAAATTAGCTAATACAATAGGTACTGATTGGCCACACAAAAATGCGCTGAAGTCCATTTGATCTCATACGGGAACTTTGATAATTTTTTTGTAATAAACGTGGCTCAATTTTTGTATAGTTTATGTTGTTGACAAAAGGTCTTTCGAATAACTTAATACAAATTTTGGGTTGCTATTTGAATGGACAGACAGGCGGAATACAAGCAGTATTTTTCTGTACTTATTTCATTTCATTATAACTGATTTTAAATTTGTAAACAAAAATAAAGCTACAGTAAAATGCGAGGTAAAATGTAACAAAATTTAAAACTGCCAAAATATTTATTATATAAGCAAACATGCACTCACAATGGTTCCCACAAAATCAGACAATTTAAGTTTCAAGTTTAATCCGTTTAATCATAAGTAGTCTTTGTTTTCCATCCTACCTCAAAGGTTTTTGCAAATAAATGGGATGAAATATTGGTATCAATTGTAGGTACTTACGAATAGAATTTAAAGAATATAAACGAAAATAAAAATAATAGCACGATCTCGAGCACGATTCATAATAGTATAGAGTAAAGAACATTTTCATTGATCATACCATTACCCAAATTTAATTCAAAACCATTATACGCAATCAAATTTATTGAATCGAAAGTTGCTAAATGTACAGGTGACTCTTAAAATGGAACTAACTCTTTTACCATTGATTACAAAATTAAGTTTTGTTGTACAGCTTCCTGTAAATATTGTCTTCAACCTAGCCAAAACTAATGGATCGTTCCATAGAATTTGCAAAGCATTTCTGTTTATTTGGCAGATTGAAGGCAACGGTAGGTATATTTCAGTTAATGAAATCGAGTTAAGTGTTGAAGTGTCTTAGGATTTACAGGGTTAAATACTGGGTCCACCTTTCGTGGAGTATAGCAATCCGGACATGTCTTTCGCCGAGCGTCAAGATGGTAATTGATTTGTAAACCGAATACAGTGAATTTTTGAGGAAACTTCGGTTAAATGGGGGTAATATTTGAATGAGTGTTAGAAATGCCAAATGTGTTGAAAATTTGAAGAAAAATGTTGGAAATCCATAATAGAATTGTAATGTGAAGGAATTTTGAAAATGTTTTGGAAGTGTTGAAAATGTAAGTATACATACAATAAATTATAAATATAAGTGGTTTTTCCGCAGCGAGACTTTCCGTCCATTTTAATTTTTGTATTGAACGCCCAAAATTTCTAGTTTCCTCAACTTCATCCCGAGCTCCATCCCTGACGGCATCAATTACGGCCGAAAAAGTATAGAATTGACTATTATGTATTTACATCAAGGGTGACTATCTCCAAGAAGTAGTATGACTCGTATATGATCTTTACCTCTTATGTTTCAGTTAAATTTATCTGATAGGTAAGTATAACTTCTATGGAGTTGGAGATCTATCAGATAAATTTATCGTTAAGACTCGTAATTTCTTTCTTCGGAAGACGAAAATTACAAGCATTAACGTTAATCTATCAATAGAGTGAAATCGCACAATTTGTCAAATATTTTTACTTCGAGTTTGTGACAAAAAACAAATAATTTTAATCAGGAATTACATTCCAAATTCTATTTATAGCCAAGTTCGTCGCACAAAAAGGAATTAAGAATCGTTTCGAGTGGCTACGATAACTCCCCATCAGATAACATCACATTTCATTAATCGACAGTTGACCTTTACATTGTCTAATCTACCTTTCGATACCTGCTCCGCAAGTCAAAAATACATTTTGTTTTGTAACATCCCGAAGCATTTATTGATGATAAGACGATCCCCGAAGGTTAGGGATCGTTCCGGTTGAACTTCCGACGAAATAAATTAAAATGGGAAAGAAGATTTCAATGTTTTTATCTAACTTCCGGTAGTATTAGAGCGGCGACCTTCACACGAGACATTGACACAGATAAACAATATTAAAAGTGAAGAATATTATTTAATAGAACTCATTCACGTAAAGGTCCTCCGAAAACGTTTACCGATAGCCGTTAGATGTAAATAAGACATTCGCTTATCAGGACTTCCTGATAACGTTAAGTTTACTAACATCGCTTTCAAGTTTCGTAGATAGAGCCGCCTGTTTCAAGGTTTTAATTTGGGTTTGCGGAGAATGCGGTCTGGGTTTAAGATCTTATTACATACGCGTACAGTACCTAGACCTACCCACTTGGCAAACAAGCGAAGAGGTAGGTAGGTAATAAAGCTATAATCAAGAAGTAAGATCGTCAATTACTTACCAACTTGAAGGACGTTATCGACGCAGCCGGTTTCCAGTAATTTTAATCCTTTGCAAAAAGACAAGTTCTGGGGTTCACCACTCGAATTCACTGGAGGCACCCGCGACAAAGAAGAGTACATGCATATATCTCGCTCGTTCCGGGGGAAGGACCAGTAGATGATCCTTCGTTGCACTGGTTCAGGAATACGGTCGTAGCGTTCTTCGATACGCTGAAAGGGAATATTTTCGGCGACAACTTTCGCCGTTATGTCGAGCAGCGTGTCCGGGGAACGCACCCCCGGGTCTCTAAGAAGAGGAGGCCCCCCGCTGGCCCGCGAGCAACACAACCGCCGGGCCACTGCCATCGACGACACACTCTCACTAACTGACTGAAGGGCTGCCTCCTTGCGAACGCCGATCTAGCGCAGACGCTCCCCACTGAACACAGCTGATGAGGCCCCCGCGTGCGTAATGTCGTTTGTTTATATTCACCACATGGCGCAAGGTGCAGAGGGGCGCCAGCCGGAGAAGACCATCCACATGGGACATCTCACCATTGACATAAAAAAACGTAGAGCTCTCTCGCTCGCGCAGTTTGCAGTCCTTACGAATCTTATTACACGAAAAATATACGTAAACAATTTCATTTAATTGATAACATTCGCTCATATCAAAATTTGGACAATATGAGTAGGTTTGTCTTGAACTATATCGCTAGCACGATATCGATAAAATTGGTTTTTTTTATTTTCCATTCCTTAAAACAACAAAATCGACGGAAACTGCTCGCGATTTGGGAATTTATTAGGAACTTGATAAAATTGTGGCAAATTAAAAAGGTCGTAGGACGTAAAGAGTGGAAAAATTCAATTTTTGTTGTTTCTTTGCAGACATCCAGGGAAGTTCCCTGTTTTAGATCCTTATGCGGTATACTCAATAATCTTCCTACAAAACTCAGCTCATAACTTTCCTCCCTGAAAATTGCCTTGTCGCCTTCTTCGAATGGCGGAGAGCATTTATGTAACCAGTGCATTGGCATTGGCATTGCATTCTGGTAATATAGCCAGATCTCGTCTCCAGTCACAATTCAATAGCACGTCTTTTAAATGGCAGAAATTTGAACCTACTCGATGGTCAATCAACACCAAATATTCAACTTTCTTGATGATTTCATCAATTCGTGTTTCGAAAGTCTACTTTGGGCCATCATGAATTAATTCCCACAATTCTCTGCCACATTTGAACCGCTTGCAGCAAAATTTGACTAAAAAATAGAATCAGCTATCACGAGGTTCTTATCCAAAAAAACTGTAAATTCGAACTAGTTTTAGGGGAATTGTAGAATTGTCCTAGCGGCCTGTGATTTTTTGCAATAGGTAGTTTATACCTTGTGCGCGAGTGCGCCAGACTACCTTCAAATTAATTATTTCACGAGATGCTGTTTCTGAAAGTCAAACGTGCATAACTTTTGGTTATAATGCCTCATCACTCAAGGGGGGATTGTCGGAGGAGGGTACTCACAAAGAGCTATTGAGACGTCTAAAAGAAATATATCCATTGGTGATGTCAACACCTTCAAAGCGAATATCTTGAAAACGGTTTGTTGGAGGGGAGGACTCACAAAGCCAAATGAATCGTCTAGAACTAAGAGCGTCAGACAACGTACTTTTTTTACGCTACCAATGGCAACGAGTACTTCTTTATACGTAGCCAATGACATAAACGCACAGCCGTCTAAAACGTAAAACTTTTGTCGTGATTTCATGAAATGAGTGGAGAAATATGATGTGACGTTTGAAGAAAAACAGTAGGTACCTATTATTACACTTTTTCTCAATTGTACAATGTTTAGTCCATCTTCAAAGCTCTGTATTTTGGGATCTATTCCACCAAAACAGAAGATTTGCCGATTGATGTTCTTTAAATAAAAGTAAATTTTAGGTACTTTAACTTTTTATAAGAGTACAATGTTATGTCGGATTGACTGTTATCTCGCTAGAAACAAAAATAGGTATAAAAAAAGTTAAAAAATTTAGGACATGGGGCTCAGTACTACTGAACATCACCGAACAACAAACATTCCAAAATTTCACAAACTTTACATTTTTTGCAAGCTCCAACCCTCTGAGCTACCATATTTTTTAGTTATTACGCACACTTCAGTCCCGTGGTATACACTGTGTCCAAGATAAGTATGTCTGGTATAGGGATCTCCGAAACCATAGAAGATACGACGATGGTCAAATTAGGGAAAAGTTGTGCAATTAAACAGTTATTTATTATCTTATCATGCTTTAAAGAAAACCAGAAAATTCGAATTATTTCCCAAGATATGCCAGAAAAACCGAAATCTGTCGGTTTCGTGTTTATTTTTTCTGATTTGAACCCATATAAAAAATCAAAGACATTTTCTCATTGCCACTTTTTGAGGTCTACCCGTATGGACAAGCAGTTGTTTTACGAATACAACGATGTATGACACATACAAAAAATACAAAAGTTGGAAACTGATGTTGGTTTCAACAAGATGGGGCACTCGCGCACAACGCCCTAATTATGCGAGAATACGTATCGGATAAACTTTTGTTTTTTTGTGCCGTACATCGTTGTATTCGCAATAAAAAATGCTACTCAATACAGTACGTACTTTTTTAAGTCATAAAAAAAAGAAAGTTGATGATGTCTCCGAAACAAAACGTTGTATTGAAAATCTCTCAGCGCTCATGTCTTGTAGAGCTTAAAAAGTGGTAATGAGAACATGTTTTTAATAAGAAAAAAATAAAAAAGAAATCCGCAAATTTTGGTTTTTCTGACAAAACAAGTTGGAAAGTAGGTACCTACTCGATGCGTGGAGCTACTTAAGCGCGTTTTTGTGCGACTGATCGAGGTTTCTCCATTTCCAAAATATAATCTGCATGCAAAGAATTGTGTCACATAGCTAATGCTTCAAACCCGAGCATTCTACGATTAAATAAATTAAATAAGATTTATCTAATTTTATCGAAAACGAATCGACCGATTTTAAAAAATCAAAGGTAGTACAGTCAAATTAGCGCAATTTTGGACAAATAAAAGCATTAATCGGTAAAGATCTGAATTTTGGTATACACATTTATTGGGACTTTCTATTGAACATACTAAAAGTCCCTGTCAAAATCTGTTGCGCTCGAGACGCCATCTTGGAAAAACGGTACACTTTTCCAGTTTTTTGCCCAAGTCTCGGCAACTATTAGATAGTCTTACTGATACGAAGAAATAGTTTACATGAAAAATATAGTTTACTAAATTCTCTATAAAAAAGAGTATTTACATTTTTTTTTGTATCTTCAATACTTTAGCTGTAATCTCACGTTGAATACGTCAGAACGCGTTTAGGCCTCGTATCGTAGTTACAGGCCGTCTTCTTTATAACTACACCGAAAACTGTAACAGCACCAAAAAATGAACAGAATCGTCTTGCGATAAAGCATTCTAGCAATGACATAATGTTTGATGATACATCATGTTTTTTTCAAAAAGGTAAGCGAAAATGATTAAAATTGTTGAAGCCACGAAATGATTTCTGAAGCTGGAGGGCGTCCTTATCTGCATATAACGTGCCTGCTAGTGAGAGATATTTAAACAGACATCGTTATCAGACCTTCAGAAAATACGCGTACAAGGATCAGCCGAATCTACCACTGTAAACCCCCTATCCGGCTGCAGCGGCGCACAACACATGTTTCGTGTTAATCAGCATAAGTTCAGAAATTGCGTGGATATGAAAAATCTCCCGAACTGTGGAGTTGAAGGAGAGTCCACGATTTCCTTGACCCTGTTCGGACACTGAAGGCTCCCAGTCCACACTCAGTGCTTAACTGCTCACATTGAAGATGAAAGTTCTATTGAGAGAGAATGTTTTATGAGAAACCTTTAAACGTGTCTCATACCAAGCTTGAGTGCGAAGACTTCACACATATAAGAAATACTGGCAGAATTTTCAATAAATTTAATGATTTGTAAAAAGTTGTAAAAAAATATCTGCGCGACTGTTTCGAGAGCTCAGGATACTTGATTCCCTATTCGATGTCGGATTATAGATAAAGTATTGGACATACAAAAAAATGTCAATATGCTTTTTTATGGGAAATTTAATAAACTATATTTTGTATCGGAGCTATTTTTCCGTATCAATAATTGTTGCCGATATATAGCAAGAAACTAAAGAAGTGCTCCTTTTTTCCAAGATGACGCCTCGAGCGCAACAGATTTTGACGGGGACTTTTAGTATGTCCAATGGGAAATACTAATGAACATGTGTACCAAAATTCAGATCTTTACCGATTAATGTTTTTATTTTTTCTTATTTGACTGGACTAAGGCCAAAATAAAGGACTTCGAAAGACCTTTTAAACAAGCTATATTACTCCATACCACTTGTTATTTAAGATGTTTAAGGGAAGGGCCCTGGGTGACAGAGGGTGAAAGGGAGTGAAGTAGTTTTTGGTTAAAAAATCTTTTGACGTGCCTCGGCGTTTTTTCCGTTAATCAGTGATTGGGAAGTTTTCAAATGAACATCCTGTATAGATTATGCATTAGTGAAGGGTATACATTGTAAAAACCAAAAGTAATAACTTAATTGCAACGGAATATGCTATAGCACAGTAGGTTGTAAATGAAAAAGAGGGATTTTATTCAGTGCAATGTACTTGCCTCCACTCCAGTGGTCATATGGACGCGTCTTAGATATTCACCGTGGTAGTGATGAAAAAGTGCGCGTAGTTACTATCAAAACGAAAGGTGGTGTAATGAAACGTCCTATTACTAAGATATGTGTATTACCAATAGACAATCACTAAAATGTTTGTCCAGTTCAACTTGGTTATTTTTCCATTTTATATTAATTAGTTTTAATGTTACTCGTTTGTTACTCTAGTAGTATTACTCATTTGAATTTGTACTTATCCCCATGTTGTAGGTATATTTGTGCATTATTTGTACCTATTAGTTAATTTCATCAATGTTTTCTGTATTTCAAATCAGTTATGTGGATATTACTCCACGAATGTTGAAAACCTGGATGTTTTCAATAGGGGGCTGAATGTTGTGTCCCAACAAATTTATGCCATTGATCAGATCAAAGTAATAGGGAAAATTAGTGAGATATTCAATTGTTATGTTTAACGTTCGTTATGTCAGGTAAATAAATTAGATCGATAAGAGAAAATACACGGGAGTGTTTTAATTAGTAATCCAACTCCAAAACAGTAGGTACTTTTTCGTAAATCTTAACTTACATAATCATATAAATATGTACCTAAATATACCTAATTAAAACGCGTTTTAACGAATTACAGAAAACTCAATTCGATGCAGATTAAAGTAGGTAAATAACTAATTACTATACAGGGTGTTTTTTTGGGAGCTTTAGTTAAAAGTTTCTGGGAAAGTAAAATAGGTAGGTTTTTGAAAATTTGTACTTAGGAGTTACTCTGAAGGCCGAATCGATGTAAAATATTTTCAAAATGGCCGCACTTCCGGAAACACCGGAAGTAGATAGTAACTTCGTTATTTTAAATGGCAACCCCTATTTTTTATTGCTTTTTTGGATTCTACGTGAAATTTCACTTCTTTTGATACCCATATGTCGATATCTACCATTTATGGTTTTTAAGTTATTTTGACTTTAAGAAAAAAAATGGCGGATGCAGATGGTACCTTGATAATTGATTACTTGCAAACGGTTGTAGTCATGGCAACCTATTTTTATCAGTGCATAGAGAATGAATAGGGCTTTCTTTTAGTGCACTTAAAAAAAAGTTAAGTTGCGTACGACCGCCCCTATGGATATCCAAATTTATGAAACTTCAAAGACTAAAAACTCAGTTTTTTTTGGAATGACCATGTTCTTACTATTCCATGAGATAGAGAATCGAAATGGGCATATTTTGACAATACATGTTCCTATAGCTATCTTTAACAGTTTCTGACTTATTCCCATTTTATTGAATTGACACTATTTTTTTAGGATTTTCTTTTTAGTAGTCGGCCATGATTCTATAACAATTGAATTTTAAACAAATCTAGTGACACTAATCCATCACCCACTGTTATAGGTTAACATAAGTTTTTCAAAAATCGAAAAATGACTCGCAGTGGTTTCACCTATTTTGGAATTTAATTGTTATTTATGGTGAAATGGGCAGAATCGCGGCGCGTGCTTTCCGTACATTCATTCGAAAACTAGAACGAAATTGTATGAATTTTTGAAATTTTGTACCCCTAATGCACTACAAACCGTTGAAGCACAAGTTATACAAAGCTCTACAAGAGAATATTTAAGAAAATGAATTGAATTGCAAATGCAAGATTAACAAAATAAATTCAATGCAAAATATAAAAAACTTTGTTGAAACATTTTTGGTATGGAATTGTTGCTAGAACAGATATCGCATTACCTCTCTTAATTTCCAGACTTATACGTTGTTTAAGAAATTCAGTTGAACGACTCTGTTTAGATTTTTCAAAAATTTTCTGTCCTATATCCTTATTAAATGAGTTATTTATTAATGAATTATTTAGACTAGAACTAGAATCAGTGGTATTAAAGAATCCATTCCTTGATTTGTTTAAAATTCGATTGTTATAAAATCATGGCCAACTACTAAAAAGAAAATGCGAAAAAAATGGCATCAATTCCGAGATCAATTCAATGAAATGGGAATAAATCAGAAACTGTTAAAGATAGCTATAGGAACATGTAATATCAAAATATGCCAATTTCGATTCTCTATCTCATGCAATATTAAGAACATGGTCATTCCATTTAAAAAAAACTGAGTTTATAGACTTTGAAGTTTCTTAAATTTGGATCTCCATAGGTGCGGTTGTACGCAACTTAACTTTGTTTTAAGTACAGTAAAAGAAAGCCCTATTCATTCTCTATGCACTGATAAAAATGGGTTGCCATGACTATAACCTTTTTCAAGTAATCAATTATCAAGGTACCATCTGCATCCGCCATTTTTTTTTCTTAAAGTCAAAATAACTTAAAAACCATAAATGGCAGATATGACATATGGGTATCAAAAGAACTGAAATTTCACGTAGAATCCAAAAATGCAATAAAAAATAGGGGTTGCCATTTAAAATAACGAAGTTACTATCTACTTCCGGTGTTTCCGGAAGTGCGGCCATTTTGAAAATATTTTACATCGATTCGGCCTTCAGAGTAACACCTAAGTACAAATTTTCAAAATCCTACCTATTTTACTTTCCCAGAAACTTTTAACTAAAGCTCCCAAAAAAACACCCTGTATACAATTATACAATCATAAAGATAATAACCTCCCCCATTGTAAAATTCTGTTCATTTTGACTTACAGTTTCATATCGCGTATAAGTATATGAAAGTGGGGACAGCCAAAATGTAGAGGTAACTATTTTTCTGTTGAAATACAAATATTTAAATAAACGTCGTTCGTAAATGCTTAAATTTAACATCCAACTGCCGTGTCTTGAAAGGTTATTGATTATCGATAAAGGTATTAAGCATTCCTACTTAAAGTTTGCATAATTCACAATGCGCGTCCAAGATGTTGCTGGAGATTATTGATCTTGCCAATGTTATTCTCATGCGAGTATTGCCAATCAATGAGGGCGGAGGCAATTACGTGTGTTTCTCTATTGGTGCTCGGAATCTGAACGAGGCGCCTTTAAAGATCTTAAGCACTTAACAGAATGGAACCTTGGCAACTTTGGGGGTACAGTTTATTGCATAACAACGTAACGTAGGTAGTGTGGGTATTATATAATAGTAGGCACAATTCCGAAATTGGATTATCCTCAGTCATGTGAATAGATTGGACTTGTAGACGTATTTCATTAAGGAAGTAAAGCAGTTCAAAGTTTACACGAGCTTCGACACAAATTAAACTGCCTGCGTAAAAGCTTAGGCGCATACACTTTTGAACGTAAAAACTTCAAAGTTAGGAAAAGTTCTGAACGTTTTATGTAAGGTAGCAAAAAAGACCGTTGCTGTCGAGGGTAATAAACAAAAAGATCTTTTACAGTACCTACCTACTCTATTCCCTTCGCTAATAAATAAAAATTAATTTCGAAACAGTTATTGCTGCAATTTATTTCCCACTACTTACATATACCTACAATCCACTTTTTCTCGACGCATAGGTAAACTATGGAATTATTTCCAACGCTAGTAATTGTTTGCATTTGTCATTAACCTACTGTTACCTATTGATTTAATATAATTGTGTGTGTAAATGTGATATTTACCTACCTATAAACGTTTTCTACGTACCAAAAATTTTAAACCGTATACAATTTTGAATGACCTATTTTCTTTCCTTCAATGTTATATGTATAATTGTATCGTTTTAACTTCAAAGCAATTAGGAAGTGTTATGCGGATTTATTTAAATTTAAGTGAGTCAACAATACTCCACAATCACAATGTAGATAGTAGCGATAACGATCTGCACTTTTCCAACCTCACGGGGCTGCAAATAAATCTTGCACAAGTCCAAACCCCAAACACGGTTTTGAAAAACGGAAAATTATAAGTAATCGTATGAACAGATGCAGTATTTTTTTCCCTAAAAAAAAACGTATTTAGGCTATAAAGAAATTACCATTGCAATCCCTATGCTACGTCGCGCTCGGCACCACCCGGTATGTTCTAACTTGACACAGATTTACTACATCACCATTGGAGAACCTGTAACCTAGGACAGCAGTATAGCATTTTCATTACAAAATGAAATGACCAAGGCACAAATCTGGTTTAAGAAATGCACGACGAACACCGTTCCATTGTATGTAATAAATATTATTTCAATATTAATATTGTTTGAGCTGCGTTTACAAAGAGAGCTCAGATTCCTCTTTCTTCTTGATTATAGTAGGAGAGTTGGTAGACATTTTTGGGTATTTGAGGCACGCTGAAAACTTGTCCACCACTTCTCCAATAATACCCAAACACAGAAATGCAGACCTGGCTGAGGAGAACCGGGGCTAACACCTTCAAAGTTTGAAATGTAATGTTTGTATTTTTAATGTGCAAATGAAAAACAGCATGATGAAAGGATGAGTAATCTAGATCTATTTCAAATGTTTTTTAAATTATAAAGCGCATAACAAGTCTTTTTATGCAATTTTTTTTACAAATGCCAACTATGGGTTTACCAAGTGGGTTACAAGTTATCAGTAAACCCAGTATTTTGGCTGAATCTGACCAAGGAGCAATACACAAATAAAAAATAAAGTGTAGGTACAAAAAAATCTATTGAGATTTTAGTTATAACAACCCATACATAATAATTCTTTAATGAAAATGAATATATTTATATGAAATATTACATGTACTTAGAAAAAAATTAGAATTCTTATTAGTAACATCAACATACTAGCCTATAAGAAATATAGCGACCTGCTGTTTCCGAAGGACGTATAATTTTCACGACCTGTAAAAGGGATGCTTGGTTACAAATATAATTGAAAATAAACATTTTGATCATACCTGGCCTCGTTTTAACCCAAAGTACCTTGCCACGGGATCTCCAGCTTGTATTCTCATTAACATGTTTTCTTTTAATTTACTGAAAAATGTTAAGGACCTTGCTTAGCATTTTGATTTTTCCCATTCCAAAAGCATAATTTGTAAATTGCAGGCAAAAAGTACTGTACATGTCCTTGAAATGATACTTTTTCCCAATTTGCCTGTAGTTTACAGACATTTAAGAAACTGACTCTGATCATCAAATGTACCTAACTTGCAGGACTGATTTAAAATGATCTTTGGTCTTATAATTAGTGTAATTAACCGGAGAGTTAATCATTTCTGGAGTAATTTTACTTATGCAATTAATTTCTAAAAACTGGTTGAATGGCAAACACAAGTTGCAGCTAAATTATATTATGTTGCTCGAGGCCTTGAGAAATACAAAATCTTAGAACTTCTACAAAATCTAACAAATCAATTTACTTAAAAGGATACTATCTTGCCAACAACTCCTGTTTTTCTTCAGGTGTCATCACAACATGTTCGGGAACCAACTCATGCTCTGTAATATTAATTAACAATTCTGACTCCAAAAATTGTTCCAGAATATATTTTGGCGCCATATCGACCAACGATTGTTTTGCAGATGGTGTCATTCCCTGCTGTACAACGATGATAGCTCTGTGTATATTTTCATCTTGCATACGCTGACAGTAAGTTTTTATAGTTTTAATACCAATTTTAGGTTCGTCAGGAAAGAAAACGAACATCTGATCTGTAGGATCGTCATTGTGGGCGACCAGGACAGTTAATTCAGTTCGTGAGGGTCGTTTTTCGCTGTAATTGAAGTTGTTACACAGAGATTAAGCTAGATGATAGATTAATACCTAGGTTTATCACCGAACTGTTCCTTAAACTGTTCTAATGTTTGATCCAATTCGTCTTGTGTCACTAAATAGCCTCGATCATGGCAAAGCTACAAGAAATAAACAAAAACATTACAAAGTAAGGTTAAGTCCATCACGTACTTGCATCACTGTTTTTCTTATTCGCCATAGTTTATACGTTTCCGCTTCATCATCCATTGTATTTAGTATTTACTATTTTTATGTTAATAATTGTAAATAGCTATAAAGTAAATAATTAACGTAACAAAACAAATTTCTCACGCAACCATGCACGATGAATCGACCGATGACAGACGAATTTCGAATTCGATAATCGTCGGTGTGCACAGTGTCGCATTAAGATGTTCTTGCCCCTATTTCAATTTCAAAATTCAATTGCCGCCAAAGAAACCAAAATGTTATAGTATAAAAAAAACATTAAATTTGTATTTATTTCTTTTTACTTATGATGTACGTAATAGTACTTTCTTATTTGACAACTTAATTTATTAGGAGATAAATATCTTGGTAAGAAAATGTCTTTATTTTTACAGGCTTAGCAAGAAAAGAAATGAAATGGGCGAGACTTCATAAGCTTTTCCTGAATCAAAACTGACATATAGCCTCTTGCCTACTAGTCTGGGAGATTAGGAAAAAAGTGCGCACTTCTGAGTAAAGCCACCGAAAATTGGCACATATGCTCTTTTACCCTTCCTCTTGAAGTTCCGACCCCTCGAACCACCGTTGGGGGGGGGGGGGGTGCATACACAAATGTTGATTGAATGATTGGGCAATTTTTTTCGACTACTAAGCTCCATGGTTATGAAAACACGTTTAAAATCTCGGGGTAGACCACTGGGAGTAGGCAATGAATAAAGATTAATGGTATGTGGTAATATCCCCACTTTACTGTACTTTCTGTCAGCAAATTTTAGTTTCCATGACAGAGGCAGAGTAGACTACGTTTCCTGCCGCTTGTCACTCTACCGGCCCCATTTTTGACATTTCCAAATGTCTATAATGACTCCTGTCATCACTGACAGATTGACATTAATCAAAATTAGACATGAAATTGAAATTTTGTATTAAAAGACGATTTCGGGTAAAATTTAATACAAAACCCGTCAGTAAAATGTCATTACCTGACTCGGAAATTAAAGTACTCGCTTCTAAAGGGGCCTCGTATTTCAATATTTCCTCGCCAGTAAGATATATCATTTATTCATTTTCCTGACTTTTATGTAAAAAAATTTAGAAAACAAAATGTCAAAACTTGTCAAATTTTTATCATATTATCCACAGTGATTTCTACAAATTATTATTAGCAGCAGACTTGTCTAATTTCACAAATGCTGTATTTAAGAAAAATTCCTTCATTACTTTCAGTACTGCAACAATGTAAGGTAAGTTTGCTTTTACAGCTCATGAAAACCAAGAGTTTCCATTTAGAGATATACTGTTGCTATTCAAGAATTAGAGTTAATTAACACCAACGGCAATACAATACCCGGAAAAACTGTAACACAAAACAATAAATACATAATGTATTATTTTTCCGCGTCCTGGTGTTCAGGATGCAAATTGCTGTTGCCAAAAATTAAGAGCATATACACTGCAAGTACAGAATTATCCTAAAACATCAAACTACATTCAAATTTTTAGGAATCTCGAAACAGACAAATTCCCTTAGAAATTATTTATATTTCACTAGACGATAACATGGAGGAAATGATGAAAGGCTTTAGAAATAATCATGGGAACTGGTTCGCCATTCCATTTGGAAGTCCTGTAATCGAGTAATTTCCATTTCAAATCTTCCCAAATAAAAAATAAGCATTTACAGGGAATTAAGATATAGATTTGAAGTCGCGTATGTGCCATTCATAGCGGTTTTAAAAAATGATGGTACAATTGTAACAAAGAATGGCAAAAAAGAAGTTGAGGATTTAGGAATTAATGTACTTGAAACATGGATCGATTAAACTACCAGAACAAAAACAAAGTATCATTATTACTTAAGTAATTTATTAATCAACGAATTCATTCTTCCGGTACTTCTACAGTGCCGTTATTAATTTCATCGATAACGTCATGTGGCAACTTGCCATCGATTGTGCAACCGACGGATTGTGCAGTTCCCAACATTTCCTTAACTGTACCTTCTAGTTTTTTCGCCATTGATCTCGGCCTCATTTGTCTTGCAATCGCTAAAATGTCGTCGAAACTAATGTTGCCATTGTGTTTAACTGAAATTATACAATAATGTAGTTGCAGAATTCATCAAACTAGGGTAAATTACACTGCTCAGTTATAAGTAAATATTACTATTATTAAACATTAATTTAATCAGACGAAATGCTAACATACAAATGATTTCTTGTTGAAACTTAATACAAGCACAGCTTTAGAAGAAGTGTACGTTCCCATTAGTAACACATTTAGTATTTCGTAAACGTGAGTTGCAAGAGGGAATATCGTACTCTAGCACTTTGCACTCAAATGTGAAGCTAGTAAGCTTAACATCGTAATTGGTGCCTATGCAATACACACCACTGATACTGTTAACTTACTATTCTTTTGCTTCTTTCTGTCACGTGGAGGTTCTTTCAATGCCTTAATTATAAGAGAAGCGGCAGATGGTACAACGCTAATTGTAGCTTGTCGATTTTGGATTTTCAGTTGAACGGTTATTTTTAAACCTTTCCAGTCTGCTGTTCCTTTAGCAATATCATCTCCCACTTTCTTAGGGCTCTAAAAAGACGTGACACATGTAACACTTTAACCTAACGATAGTGTATTGAAAGTACTTACGAGACCTAGTGGACCAATTTTTGGGGCAAGCGAAGATGTTGCGCCAACTTCTCCACCGACACATCTTAAGTACACTGAAAAAATTAGTAATGGTAAATAAATGATAAAATGAGGTTATATAAATTTCACAGCGTACTGTCAACTTACCGTACTTAACTTCAGTAGGATCAAACTTTGGTGGCATTTTTTGCTTTAGTTTCTTTAACTAATTTTTGAAAATAAAGTTAAATGGGGCAGATGATTAAAGAAAATTAAAAATTTTCCCCGTCTTCACCAACTAGCGGATTCAACGTCTTAAAAAGGAACTAACAACTAAAATCAGGGCTACAAACTGTCATCCTGCATTATACTAAATGGCGCGAAGTTTAAATGATGGAAAATTGAATATTGTAATTCTTACATGACAGGTTTAACACTAATGATAAACATAATGCAAATCTGAATTCAGTAAAAAAAAAATCACAGAAAAACCAATCAAAATATGAATTTATTTCAGGTTTTATGGACCGTGCAGGCAAAGCAGTGGCGTAACTAGAACTACGAGGCAAGGGACTCAAAATTCACATGCAGCACTCCTTAAGGTCTCATTCACGCAAGCTAGGCCTATCTATGGTGCATCTGTTTCACCACTTTTTATTCCCCATTCAAGCCATGGCGCCTTCTTCGCACATATGTACATCACGTTGCTGTTGCGCAGCTATAAGATCTTCTTGTGCCTTCATCCTTCATCATGTCATGAACTGGACGTCTTCTTTATTACTTTGTTTGCTAATTAAACAATCTTCACCTATGGCGCATCAATCTCAACACTCTTTCTTGTTTCCTTTTTTTCATTTTGTATAGATACGTGCCGATCTTCCAGTGACCAGTAAGAATTATGGATTAACCATGATATCTCAATTCTCAATTCACCATGTCTCCTGTTTTGTCCAGCTTCGAACGCTCTTCATATATCTAGGGCAATGTCTACCCCTATACGCAATTAAGTCCGAGAAATTTCTTTAGTTGTGTTAATTGTGTTGTAATAACTAACTACATAATAGTTAACTATGCATGTACCTACTAAGCCTTTTCAGACCATGTAAGATAAAATGCTTGAGCTTTATTCATATAAATGAGACTGAATAAATAGTACTTTACGCTAATACGTGTACCTTTGAAGCCCGTACCACAGATTGTAAATAATCTGTGCCTATAGCCCTATAGGCCTATGCCCTATACTGATTGTAATATGTAAATGTACAATACCCGTATTTTGCTTATTACTCGTTTGAGAACCACTGATTATTCCTTTTCCAGTTTCGTGCAACAATTGTGAAGGCCGCGCAAACTCACTGTCCCACAAAAATAATAATTTAATTTATTGCTTATCTTCGCCGTATTTCCTTTTTCCAGGAAAGTTGTTAATCTGTTACACGCTCACGTAATAAGTGCATCCAAATTACGTCTGATCAACCAGTGAATCATTTTCGTTCCTCCTGAAAAGCGCGTTAGTGATGTTAAATACACAAGTGTGGGAAAACATAAAACGTTGTGCGAAAAACATCGTATAGCACTTGTTTAAATGGTGCTACTGAATTTTCTTCAAAAAAACATTGTGGTATGAATTCCTCAATTAACCTTCACAAACCTACTGGGGGGTTTCACTGCAACAAGAATGCCTTAATTGACGATTTCGGTTGGTTCCTGCAGATTTTGTTGGCGAGCTTAGCATTCACTTGTCTCATCGGTAAACTTCTACCACTATTTCTGTCGATGTCACACTACTCAGGTTATTGCTTGTAGCGAAACGATTTTGTGAACCAAAAAATGAACGAAGATCATGGCTCATTTGGTTTTACGATACATCGAAACAGGGTATGGGTGCCATAGCGATACACTTGGCGAATGTCTGGCTTGCGGGACAATACACCGGCGATCCGTGTACGTGGTAAGTGTGTATTTGTCCTATACAAATAAAGAATTTGTGAATGTGTGAACTAGATATTTTGTTCATAATTTTATGTAGGCCATTTCCGATTTGACATCAACATCAGTGATAACTCAAAATGAAAAGAATAAGAGAGTAGACATAATCATTATTTACCAAGTCACATCGTGTTTACACTGATATGTGTAGATGTTTGTAATTATGCGTATCATTATTATTAATTATACGATTGGCAAATATTTAACATTTACATGGTTAATGCGCAGTGATAGTTGTAACTTGAAGAGTTATAATATAACTTGTTGTTTTGAAATGCTATCTTCTTCCTTTAGGATGTGGATTTAATTGTGACTATGTACATTTTTCCAGTATTAACACATTTTTAGGTTTAAAATTTGGAATCGTTCCACTTTCTACAAATAATTGCCTATAATTACATTTATAAATTGATGTTGGTAAACATGCACTTTAGTTTCTAAGTAGTTTAAGTACTAATTAGAATTACTATACAAGATAATTAGTTTCTTCCTCTGTTTCTTCCTTTATTATTACTGCTTGAGGTAAGGTTCATACACTGCTCTGCTAGAATCTGGTGTTTTTGGAGTAGATAAGTAACTAATCATTTACCAATGTAGAATAAGTAAAGTCAAAACCAAGTTAAAAAATGTACCTTGATAGTTGATATGTACTTACTTCGAGACTTAGTTACGTACTGTGATATTTACACCTCGACAGTGCTATACCAGACAGCAACTCGCGCGAGAAATCTAACTCGAGTATTTCCATCTTTAGATATCGCTCATGAAGCGCTTTGTGAGGTGGTAGCTCGCGCTAGGCTGCTATCGTGATCACCATTTTTGGACATCTTAAAATGTTATCAAATTTGACGTTTTAGATCATTTTAAGCCACTGCTTAATGTCTGAAATTTAAAATCTAATACTCTGGTTGACCTGGATGTAAAATATGGGTTTGATTCATACAAAAATTGCGATGCCTGTTTCATGATAACGGGTTCATGCCAAATTTTACCCTTGTCCAAATATTTTATCTTTACCACATACTGAATTACTGATAGGTAATTCTTCTGTACATACGCTTCTGAATGCTAAACAATTAAAGAAATGGTATCACCGAAATTAAATGCAAAATTCCTAATCAAGGAACAAAATAAGCCAAATTTTTGTTTGGATTCGGTTCTTCATTCTTACAAAAATTCAAGACCAATTCTGTTTCATGCAAGTACTTCTCGTAGGTCGATTTCTTCAGGAATCCCGCGATACCGTTCGTATTATCGCTGGGTATCGCCCGTTATACTTTTCTTGACGTTCGCTATGAAGCGGTACATGTGTTAATTTTCTTATGCTATTCGAAAAAATACTGTTTTTAATTCTAAAGCGGGCCACCCGTTTCAATTTAAAATAAATCATTACTTAATGCAAAACTTTTCATTATCAATTTAAAAATAAGGGTTCGTTCAAATGCTAATGAATAAATGAGGGCTGGCAAAATTGATGGTTCGGTTCTGGTATATGCAAATAAATAAAGTGAAAGGAACTTATTTATGCAAACAATAGTTTTATACATTTATTTACTCGTTTATTTATATCCCGCGTTTCAACTGGAACTTCTTACTGAAGATTCTTTTTAAATACTAACCGCGTAAGTCACTAGTCACTTGGTGTATTATTCGAATTCTTGGAGAAAATATTGCTTTCGACGAAAATAAAATTCCGTTTGGAGTTTAATATTAATGTTGTTTTCATGTACCCATTGATGTTTTATTTATCTACGTTTCTGAATTGTGTATTGTCCCTAAAATATGGACCTTGGATATTACACAACTTTTAACATAAATAAAACCCCTAGGTAAGCCTATCTTATTCAGATATAGCTGCTCATGCATGCATTATACCTATTACATGTGCATTACAACAGTTTTACACGTTGTAGATATTTGAAACCATTATCTTCAACTTGTAAGTGATTTTATAATTTTCAAATTACCATACGAGTGGCTTCTCAATTACGGAACAATAGTGTAGGGACTTTTTTAAGTACATAATTAACTTATCAAAAGCGCCGGTTCAGCGGCAAATTATCTCACTCTAAATTTCAATGTCATCTATTTCTACTAGACAGTGGTACCCTCGGTGGTACCCAAACTACTTTTAATGGGGCGCCCTTTCTGAAAACTAAAATTGCTGACGCGCCCGATTAAAAAAATAAAAACTGCTTTTACTATAAAAACATATTTAAAAAAAAATCAATGTTTTTATACAGGGTGTTAACATTTTTTTTAACCTATAAAATATTATATTTTTCAATCAAGTTGGATATTGCAGCCATAACATCAATGGCTTTTGAGGTCGTTGTTTAATCGTTTTTAGGTCATGTGAGAATCTTTTCCCTTATAGCATAAATCGCACATACTCCTACACTATCAGTTGGCAATATTATGCAACATCGGTGCTTTCATCGCACTGAACTGTAGATACTTTTCAGACTACCCTGTTTGTTAATGTCAAAGAAACCTACACTCGGGCTACACCCCATGTAAAACATTGCTAACATGACTGTTTTACGCAAGAAAATAAAGAATTTTTTATTAACTGAAACTGTTTGTTTGCCCATTCCTGTTAACATAAACACTTGTGACTTGAGAATAAGTAGAAATTTTTCCATTGTGTCAATCAAAAGGTTAGATCTGTATCTGGCGCCGCATAATTATAATTTGCTATAGTGATCTATCCTAATCAGCACAAATTGTCATTTTAACAAACCATGTTCTTTTATTGTAGGTATATTATCAACTTTCTGCTAGACTCCTCGCTGGGTCTTTTCATTATATTCATAGGAATTCGCTTGAGTCAACACTTATCGAAACGAGACGGATGGGAAGCGATCAATTTTGGGGAATATGGTAAATATAAACACCTTATTCTTCATGGAGTCCACAATCCTAGGATTGGTTGGACGCAGTCTTCCACCATTTCCTATCCTGCGGTAATCTTTTCACTTCTACATAACTACCCTAACTATTTCGTCTATGCATCTAAGCCTCTGTCGTCCTACTCTCTCTCTCTGCCCTACCTTCTATAGCTAACTGTACTAATCCACCGTGTCTGAGCATGTGCCCTATCATTCTATCTCGTCGTCTCTGTACAGTTTTCCACATTTCCTATTGTCCTGTACTAGCTCCAAGACTGCTTCGTTTGTTACCCTGTCCATCCAGCTAATCGTCATTATTCTTCTATAGCATCACATTTCGAACGCTTCTATCCTACTTTTGTCTTCCCTGCTTATCGTTTCGCACCCGTATAGAGCTACACTCCAGATGTACGTTTTTAGCAGGTTTTCCTAATTCCTAAATTTCTCCCGGATCTTAGCAGATCCCGCTTTTGTTCAAATGCTTTTTTGCCTGCGCTATCCTGGATTTTATATCTTCCTTGCTACGATCACCTTGTGTGAATAGCAAAATTCCTTTACATGCTTTAAAGATCGTTCCTTGTACGGATCTTTATCTTTTTCCGCATTTCATTACATTTCTTTTTTCTTTGTTTATTGTATATTAAAATCCTGTCTAGGTAATCCGCCGTCGGTCAACGCGTGGTTGGCCCAATGCTGTTTATACATAGGATTAATGGTTATCGTTAAAACGTGCATAACGCTATTAATGCAACTGAACTTTTGGGAAAGTGTGAGAGATTTAATTTTACCGCCGATAGATAATCCGAAAATCGAACTTGCCTTCGTAATGCTCATTATTCCATTTTTCGTAAATGTAAGACGTTCTCGCTTGATTTCGCAAACACTTAAACCTGCGATTTTTTAGATATTAATGTTTTGGGTGACCGATAATTTCTTGATGCATAGAAATTCCAATTTAGCCCATCGAACACACACGGATGACAACTGTTCGTGCAAAGGTGGTCCACAATACAGAACTATAAACGATTATAGAAGAGTTAGTTGTTCAGAGAATGATGGCCTTTTGATGGATGATGAGTTACTTGATTCTGAGGACTCGCCTCATGCGTCTGCGTAAAATCACGTGATCTTAAATTTTATCGTCCAGTTACATATGTGCTTATTGTTGTGATAGATCATTTAGTTTTAGTTTATAAACTCTTTATCCTTAATGCATTGCCTTTTTGATGAAAATATATATGGAGTTAAGGTAAGAAAAACACAGTGAGTAGTTCTAAGACGAAGACAAAGATGACATAAGTTACCATATTTATTACTTACACAATGCATTCATACGTGTGATATTCTATTTTAACCTTTTAGCCATATATATATATAGGGTCATATAATTAAGTAGTATGTCTTTGTTTAACTGCGTACTTACATTTTAGTTCCTATTTGTTATGTGAGTACTCGTACATGATAATCGATCAAACCCATTTTCATTCATTTATAATAATCTCAAAAGACTGCATTTGGTAAGGATTATTTATAGGAAATAATGGCCAAATCTTTACTAAATTTTTTTAAGACATCTTTAAAGTGTTTTTGATAAATAAGTAAATGAATGTACTTATAATTTTGATCGACAATAAACTTGATCTGCTAGTTTAGGCTAGTTACATGAATGTTATCTTATTGGACATGCTTAAAAGACAAAACAATAACCAAACATTGAATGTTATGTAAATATACAAAATATATATTTTTGTAAACAAGTTCATATGTGTTTGTGTTCCTCTGTGAAGAATTTCGCGTCGGCGGCACCCCACACCTCGCCAGAAAGTCTCGCTACCGGATGTGACAAAAGTTAGGTTTAGGCCACGTTTACCACACATCAGAAACCTTCGCCTGGCTATCTATTTATATTGCGATATAAAATGGCGGAAAAGAGAAAAATGTTTTTTTCGTCTTTCCGTAGGATTTTTTGGAAATTATCTTTTATATAAACCTTGTCCTGATAATAACAACAACAAATGATTTATCTAATATGGTCCAGTCGTTCTGAAGTTATGGGCGTACATACATTTCGGCGATTACCTACTGAAGGTAAAATTAAAGGTCGTGTCACTTTGTAGCTGGGTTTTAGGAAAATAAAATTGAAAGAAAAAAAATTTTAAAAGTGTTAAAACAATTCCCGAAAATCAATTTGAGCGAACACTAGAAAGTCTTTTAAACTGTTTCTAGAGGATTATAAATGACTTTAGCAATAACTAATGGAAAATTTGTTAGAACATTCCGCGATCGTTCCAGAGCTTCATATAGCCTTCCAAAGGTGTTAGTCAGTCTCTTCAACTTCGTCTCCACTTTTTGGGCTGCTTTGTATCTCCCTCGTCCAAGCATTTCCAACCCATTGTGGGGACGCGCCGCCTGCACATCCAGTAGCAAATTAAAACGTGCTGCTGCTGCACCCTCATTGGTCAAAACGGCCAACCGCTGATAGCGTAGCGCCCCTGGCCGCAAACGCTTAAAAGCAGAGCTCTGACCTCTGCAAACCAATTCCTGCTTCGATTACGCTTCAAGAAACAACCGACTGTCCGCCTGCAGAACTGGTTCGCCTTGTCAGTTCGACCTCGCGCCGCGCTTCACCAGTCAGAAGACTCGCGAGGTTTTCTGAAATTTGAACTCTTGCGGTTCGTGCTGGTGTAGAACTTTAGAAAAACTTTTTTGGATTTCGCCTAGAAGGCGTTAGAAAGTCTACTGCTTTGTAAATTATCCCTATGGTTTGGAGACGCCACTTAAGGGACTCTGATGGAGACCACATGAAAGCCACAGAGAGTTCCGCAGGGTTTTTCTAAATAAGTGCTTTCCAAAGCATTCCTTGCGCCTTTCCAGAAGTGTCAAGGCGATTTCCACGACTTTCAAGGTCCTTTTCAGAACGTTTCGGACACTTGCTTTCCCTGACTTTCTCTTTTTTCCAGAGCTAGAGGAGCGTTGCAATGCTCTGGAAAAGTGCCACAAGTGATCTGTATGGCCCTTTTGGCTTACTTGTAGAGTTCTTGAGAAGCTTCTAAGCCTTTTTGAGAACTTCCTAGATCCTTTCTAGACAGGTGAGTCAAGAATCGTCTAGAAAAGGCTTCAATAAGGCGCTTTTAAACGTTTCCCATGTTCTAATCAGGACTTTTGAGATTGTTTATAAAGATAACTAAGGTTTGTTTAAATCGATCAAGCACCTTGATGATTGTTTCCAAAGCTCCCTGGATCAGTTTCGCGGTATTAATACTCTGTTGGAGCGTTATACACCTTTTCTAGAGCTTCCTTGGCTCTTCTTGCTTTGTAAAGTGCAAGTAAGGCCTACGAAATATCTAGAAAGTACTTATGCAATCCCTCAAATTGTATAAATGGTTTCTTCCAAACTATCTAAAGGCTTATCAGCAAAAGGCGGTAGACAGTTTTTAGAACTTACTATAGGAGCTTGCCTGATTTTTATATAGTCTCACCAGAGCATTCTATCGCCTTCCAAGAGTGTTAGGTCCTTTTCAGTTTTATCTTTGAATATAATATTTTATATTCAAAGGTTTTATCTAGGCCCTCTTCAAGCTTTTCTTGGCACATACCTACCTAACTTTTCAAAGTACCTAGAAATATTCGGAAAATGCCCAGCCGCCCTGGGATAAGGTATTAGAAAGCTTGGGAAAGCATCGATAACCTTCAAAGGGATATGGAAAATAGTGTACATGACTCGTTTGAAAGCCACTTTTCACACTCGTGTGATTCCCACACTCGGCGTCGCCTCGTATGGCAAACTTCACATCTCGTGTGAAAAGTATCGCTTTCAACACTCGTTACGTAATATACTATTACAGTGCAATTGAATGTCCTTTAAACCTTTCCTTGGGTCTTCCATATGTTTCCAAGTGTTTTAGAAGCTTTCTCGCTATATGCGCACGTATCCGTGGAAATCACTTGCTCTGGCATAAACTAAAAAAGCTCTCGAAAAGACCGGGAAAGCTATGGAAATGGTCTAGCACTACTGGAAAGACACAAGTTAATTTCAGGACATGACCCTTTTTTAGAAGCTTTCTCATTTACGCCCGAGGCCTTAAAACGTGTACTATGGATGCCTGTCGGTAAATTCGCCATACAGTTTTCGTCCCGTGCCTCGTTCGCATATTATAAGTAGTTTTTTTGCGTTAGAAAGGACAGTTCATTTTAGTTTTTTCTTCATACCCGCGTAGGGGCGGGCAAGAATAACCCTACTGCAGAGATACTGCATGTCGTAAAAGGCGACTAATCAATGATTTAAGGGTTTGCATTGTTTGTACTATGAATTTTGGGATTGTTTGGCTGTGCTGGGAGAGGAATGCGGTCCGCAAAATGAGCACTTAGAGTGGTTCACATATTTGGATACAATACGAGTTTGAACGAGGTGTTCTCTTTTTCGTCTGGAGGTCCAAGGATCAAGAGCGTCCACCCAGAAGGTGCGCGGCTTTGGGTACTTACCCAATTCCTGTTTCAGTCAGCGAAAATGGAACTATGTGGTACTTTCGCACACAATTTGCAGAATTTAAAAGGAAGTTGACTATAACCTTTTATATTTCAACAACTAAAGTAACCCTTACCTACGTTTAAGGTCACGGCGAGGTCTTAAAATTTGACGTTCACATCTCTCATCATGAACTCGATGTTTGGCAAACCCCAAATTAGGATCACATCCCTACTACACAAGGAAAACAAAAATTATTCTTGAAAAAATGTTGGCTGTATACGGGGATGACTGTCTTCCTAAATCAACTATTTGCGAGTGGTCAGAATTGTTTAAACACGGTCGAGAATCACTGGATGATGATCCCCGTCTAGAACGCCTTGTAGTGGTGATCACTTCAGATGTTGTTGAAAAAACCAAGTGTTTGGTACTGGAGGATGCGATACTAAAGAAGCGACAACTAGAAGTTTCACAAGGAGTTCCAGAAACCACGGTTTTCAGAATTTTACACAAGATGGGTACCTTGGGAAGACAAAGGTTAGTGCATTCGAAATGTGTGTCACTGGAGATGAACCCATGGTTCATCATTATGATCCTGAATCAAAAACAAAGAGTCGATGCAGTGGCATGATAAGGGCTCTGGCGCTCCTAAGAAGTTTAACGTCACCCCCTCTGCAGGAGAATAATGACAATTTCCTGGCACTCAGAGAATTTTGCTGATGGATTATATGCATGAATAAGGGTAGTACGGTAACGGGAGGGTATTATGTAAATTATTTAATCTATACAATTTATTTAAAAAAATGTACACAAATTAGTACAAGTTTCGTTCTATAAGATTATTTCAAAATATTTACAAAGAAAAGTTGTAAGGTTTAATCCAACAAAGGGGTTTTATAGAGTAAAAATAAATAAAGCGTTTATTTGGCTTCTAAATGTATTGAATAACACTGTTCGTCCCGGACCTATTCATTCTATTTCGATTGACTTAGGGTAGCTATTTTTAAATACTTTGGTACAATAATAAGATATGGACTTGAATAATGTAATGTAACATTAAAAAATGATTTCAATTAGTCTAATGCTCGAAGGTACACATTTTACAGCTTAATTAAACAGTATTATTTACAAATTGAAATTATACTAAATTTTAAAACTACGTTAGTATGAATAATTTTTTGTAAGGCCCTTATTTTGTTTCGGAGGTATATACAGTCAGTGAAACTTTGGGCGAACCACGAGGTACTTTTAGGGCACGCAAGGACGTATTCAGTCTCTTCTATTATTGTATAAAACGGAACGGAGGTCCACCAACTTTAGTTTCTACACAGCACATAACAGTCACTGAAATTATTTAATTAGACCGTTCAGTTTTCACTTCGATTTGTTATTGTAGTCAACGTAAACTCGTACTACCTCTCCCGAATATTTCCTTTGGGAAGGCATGAAGTAGAAATCTGGCTGCATGTCTGGAGGTGCGCGGTGTCGATCGTATGTTGTTCTAGGTAGAGAAAGTGTGCTGCGTTCCAAGTGACTGGGTGGATAACCTCCACGTGGTCTTTGTAACGACCTCGTGTCGCCCATCTGTGTTGGACCGTACAGTGGTACACTAGGTGGGCGCGTCTGTGGTCGTCCACCACGTGGATGGTTCTTGCTTGGTAGGGTTTCACTGCGATTGTGTCCGTTCGCTGGTTTTTCCTGACTTTCAAAGGTGTCAAAAGCGTAATTCGTATTTGCTGTTGAATAATCCTTCCATGCTGAATTTTGCAGTAGATGATCCTAAAACAATATTCTGTGTAGACACCTGACGTGGAGTTTCATCGCTACATTGCTGTTGTGCATATGTATTGAAAATTGTGCATTCAGCGGAAGATAAACGCTCCATATATTAGGTACCACTCCCAAAGTAGCTGCTAAAAATGTAGAACACTTACCCCACCAGGCCTACAGTGTGGTGAGGTTACCATTGTCTAGAACGCTCAGGTGGTGAGACGGCCCAGTGGGGAAGCATGTCAGATCCTTGGTAATTTTGCAGGTAATAAATGGGATCATGCTGCACATTGTATACTCGCTAAGAAAGTGTATGCAAGCAATTAATAGGCAATACATATATACATAAAGCAATTAGGCAAAAACATTATTAAAAACTGATTACGATGTTAGCTGAAATACCCTGGATTATAATGCCGATTTTTATCCAATGAAAGAAGATAAATGTATTACGATTAAGTTTTACCTTATGACTAGATTTCGATTTTCTCGTCGTCTTGTAAATTGTACAGCTGGCTTGTATGAGTGCCAATAAGACCAATGCAGCTAAACATCCAAGGACAATATATAACTTGGTTCCCGACAAACTGAAGAAATGGTTTTGTTCTTCCGATGCTCTCGGAATAGAATTGGAAGTTACTGGAACAATGCTGTAGTTGAAGCCTTTTCAAAATGATCTTTTACTCACCACTGTCCGATGAAAAAACGAAAAACGCAGGATCTACCATTAGAGCACCTACTCTTCCAGTTTTAACACTATCTTGCAGTAGGGCTTTAACCGCATTATCTTGATCATCAGTTTCTGATAGAGATCGTCCTTTTTCTGCTATGGCCTTATCCAAATGTAAATTTAATACTGCTACGATATTTTGGTCATTGCTGTGTTAAATATCAATTGTTTATTGCCCATTTTGCGTAGGTAGAAGTACAGATCAAAATCTCAGTGACTTTTTTATTTTAAATGGGAGAGGTTTCAGCCTTCGTAGCGCGTTTCTTTTTGAATTCGTTTCAAATAATGTTCGTCAAGGTCGTTGGAGAATGGTCTCTATTCGCATAACCTTTTTTTCACGTTCAGAAGCAGAAAAGATATTCTTCTTGGGGTAGGCATAGCATTGGACAAATTTTTAATATATATGTCTTGCATAGGATACATACAATTTGATCTATGCGTTTAAAGTAAAGAAATGGTCAGGTTTCCGAAAAAAAATAAAAGTAGTAAATTTGTATGATGTGTTTCCTACGCCCTTTCTATTGTCCCCAAATGGGCGAAACAACCAAATTTCATTTAATTTAATGATTGTACCAGAGTACCCATATACTGTAGTACCGTATACCTACTTGAAAATCTCTCCCACCGATGGCGTAACTACACATTTTGGCCTTATTGAGCGTGAGAGAAACGTAAAAAAAGTTACGGCGTGGAGAAGTCGCGAAGGCGGCGAAAGAGGTGCAAACGAGATGGAAGTATGAATAAACTGTGAACGAGATGTGAAGCACATGAAACAGAGATGGAATATGGATATGTGTACGAGGAAGGCTTTGACTTTAAAAAGGTGTGTAGGAGATCTAAAGTAGGTGTGAAAGAAACCTGATGAAGTGGGTTGAAGTAAGCGCGAGTGGCGAGAACAAAACGTGAAAAAGAACAACAGAAGCTAGGCATTCTTCAGCAATTATCCGTTCTCGAAAACTGTTCCTAGGGTCTTTAGATTCGTAAGACCATCACCCTTCATTTGAGCGGTCAGGGTCTTGGTACTGGTATTGTCAGTTCCAACACGAGTCACTGAGGTTTTGAGTCAAATTCGTCTTCACTTACCCTTTCAAATTTTCGATAACCAGCCGCTTATAGCTAGGAAGACTGCTAAATAACGGCTTGATATTGTCAGAAATTGTATTTGATAGTTCTTCGTATTGAATACTACCCGGTTCCGGAGCATGGAAATTTTCGCCCAAGTTAACAATCTTTACCTGCATATTATACCCTAAGAATGGTGGCTCTGGTGTGGCCTCCATGTCTTCATCTAAATAATCTGTAATGTTATTTTAGATTACACAATTATGCGATTTCCTTTGAATAATGTAATCTCGAATCTCATGTTGTACATACCATTTCCACATGATGTAATGCAAATCCGATCAAGAGACGTAACAGGCACAACCTCGTGCTTACGAATTTTCTTATTAACACTGTTGAAATCACCCCCACGAACAGGGAACATCATAAATAGGCAGTGGTCGTCAGTAAATGACAGATCCTAGGATGGAATAACATTAATTAGTTAGTAATAATCATTTGGACCACAACCTTTGGATCTTTCGAAATACGTTTCCGTACGAAAGACAACACAGTAACACCATCCACAATTCTTCCACTAGTATTATAGATTCCTTGCGAGGAATCCAACAGAGGTTGTGTATATCCGTTCAGCCAAACGTCCATTAAAAACGGACGACCTGTCTTATCAACCCAGCCCAGAACCGCGTCAGTTTGAGACTAAAAATTTACTTTAGCGCGCTTCAAGTTGATCCAAAATTACCATTTTTTCGTCATTTGAGAATCCGATACCCGTCCACGCGTCGGTGTGTTTGGTGGTTATTGTGAAACGTATCTCATCCCCCCTCGGCAAATATTCCCATTTAGCTGCATAGTCACAAGTGTTATTATCTAAACTACAGCTGCGCGGTGTTCTCCATTCACCGCCACAATATGATGTCACTTCAGTTGTCGACGAAATTGTTTCACCTGCACTCGCTTGCTTCTTCTCCTCTAAAACCCAATTGAAATTGGACCTCTACACATACTACAATATTACCAAAGAAATTTATTGTAGTAAATCCTCTTTGAGCGCCATGTCCGTGATACTTCAACTCATCTTCCTTGTAAAACTCTTTATCGGTTGCGTTCGCCGTTTCAACCCCAGACTTTGGTATGTGAACGTATTTTCCCTTCTCCTGACCTTGCGCCCATATTACGTGCATAAGTTCATTAACGATAGAGTGATCCGAGGGCTCTTGAGCTTCCAGTTTTTTTCTAAACAAAATAGTCGTAACACCATCCTTTTCAAACGCCATGGCCGCCGTCAAATCGTTTTTCCCACCCCAAAAGTTGTCCATCCTAGGCGTAGATCGATCTCTGGTGTAGTAATCTGCAATGCGATTTGACGTATTCCTCGCGGACCCGATTATTATGTCCGTGCAGTCCATTGCATTGAAATCGTGCCTAGGTGTGTACGGATTTAGCTGTTCTTGTTGTTTGGCTGTGTAAATTTGAATCATTTACATATTTGCGGCTTATAAATGTACAGGCAAAAGTATTCCAAACCTACTAAACTAACTACTAAAACGTAATTCTACCATACCTTCAGTTGCAGTGGGTGCATTTAATAAACCGGAATGTGTTTTTATTAGTTTTGCTTTAGGTTCCGGCTCAGATTTGGGTTCCGGCTCAGATTTAGGTTCCGGTTCGGACTTGGGCTCAGGTTCAGATTTCGGCTCGGGCTCGGATTTGGGTTCGGGCTCAGATTTTGGTTCAGGTTCAGACTTAGGTTCAGGTTCAGATGTTGGTTCGGGTTCGGACTTGGGTTCGGGTTCAGGTTTAGGTTGTGTGAGCGGTGAGGTGCTTGATGCGCTAATGTGCTCGCCATGCGGTTCCAGTGCCGAAGTAGGTCCCGCTAGTGTTTCTAAATAGGGAAAACACCAGCCACCGTTAGTAATTCTAATATCACAAATTGTACAAAGCGATATATTTAATCGTGATCCATCATCTATACGCAAATCTTTACTCATAACTCCACTAATCTATTTTCCATGCGAAAACTACAAATCACTTACTGTCATCACTGCGTTTTCTACGTCCTAAAATACACTTCAATTAGGTAAACCTTTATTACATACTTTAAATCAGTACCTTGAATCGCGCTGACTTTGTACGAAATACTTGTCTCCACGACATCCCCACTATCGTAAGTTGTGAGTACCCTTGGTGACGGCGAGGCAGATCGACGCGAGTACAACGATTTGCGATATTTTGGTTTTAGCGTGGTCGTAGGTTCTGGTTCTGCCGTTGCAGATGGCTCCGGTTCAGGTTCCGTTTTCGGTTCAGGTGTTGGTTCCGGTTGACTCTTAGGTTCTGGTTCCGGGTTTGGTGCAGGCTCGCTACTGGGTTCGGGTTCCGTGGTTGGTTCTGGTTTACTGCTTTTTGCCTCTTGAGCCGATGGGCCAATTGCCGGGAAATTTTTACAGCTGGTAGTTAATGAACGAGGTCGCCAGCCTAAGGCTGCGTATCCAGTACCATTAACAACCATAACAACTTCGATTTCTTTGTGTTCTTTTAATATTCGCCAATATAGGCGGAATGTGTCGCTGAGTTTCTTTTCTGTATATAAACCAAAATCAATATCGGTGTTTTTTACTGCCGATCCTGGAAAAAAGTGACTGTAATCACAAATTTACAAGTAAGTCAGTCTTACGTTTATTACATCCTGGACCGAACCACCCCAGTTCACAATAACATTGTTGTCGTGGGGCGCTTGTTGCTTTTATATCGATACATTTTCCATGTTCGCCACAATCACTGTTTTCCCAGCACTCGTCTCTAAATTGGCAGCGATCACCATAATACAATCTATCACATTTGCATCGCCCTAACAAATATCTACCGTGCCCGCTGCATGTTTCTCTGTATTCTTTTCCTTTAACAATATTCATTTCTAATTGCTTAATTATTTTGAACATAAATTACTTACGTGGTTTAATGTCTACGTCGGCACACGACCAGAACTTATAGTTATTGGACCACTCCAGCGCTTGACGTATAAGTCGTAATGTACAATCATTGCAATTATAGTCACTTGGTAGTTGTACTTGATATGACTGAGCCCTAAAATAATTAGATAAAAATGAACACGGCATCTACAATTAAAAGAAAACGTACGTCGCGTCACTCGACACGAATTCAGATCCTTGAATAGTTGGCGTTAAATCTAATACTGGTCTCTCTAAGTGATCGAGGAGTTGTATTTTGAAACCACCCTACGTCGAAAAGATCTTTAGTAGGTGCAAGCCAAGCTCGATAAACTTACTTTATGTGGATATCCTAAGTGCCAGGACACGTTAAATTTTGAACCGGCCAAGATGGACGTTTTTATACTTCCTGAAATGAAAGATAACTATTATGGATCGGTCGAATACAAAAATACTTAGCTACAGTTACAATTTTGAAATTTTGTACATCGTGCCTAATGCTTGTTTAACAGTAGTGGCACGTGCCATTGCCATAGCTAAGAATTAGACGGCAAATCATGGTGCCGTTAAATTGAAGGAAACAGGGTCTATTAACCTTGCAAATTTATACGTTCGTCACTATATTAAATCCAAATTAGGCAACGTTTAATCGTTTCTTTCATATAATTATTGCTCAATCATCTTTTTACAAATTTTTTAAGGTAATTAAGTAGTTAATTCGATTAATTTGTTTCTGTATAATATGCAATTCCATTTTACCAAGGAAATCGCTAAGCATAGTGGCACAAGTAGGTACCTTTTAATTTATCTAAAGCGTAACAAGGTAATTCATTATAGATCCATGCACTATCATGAAAAATTATGCTATAAGTAAATGGCGTGTGGTCTTTTTGAATGTGGGACCCGAGAAACAAAATGTTTAAAATTGTATTATTTCTACTAAAAAAATCGTATTTCCATCGTGTGCCAAGCATTAGGTATAAGTTTGTTAGTCCTATTTCTTTGAAGGGTGAACTTTGAATTAATCCCTCCCAAAATAAAAATAGTGAAATGGAATGAAATGCAGCAGCGTGCGGACAGTACCAATCGGATTTTAAAAATCCGGCGCAAATTGAGAAACAAGAATTAAAATCCGCCCGATGCGTACCGTGCATGCCCATACCGACGTGTGTGCGATGTACCTAGGTAGGGACTTGTCGCGGTATCATCGGCATTTATCAGCGGCAGAGCAAAGCGAACTCGAAAGCGAAGCTTTATTATACGAGAGTAGATGGTGTCCGTTTATCCGTCTGTGCGTCCGTGAACACGATAACTGCCAAACTCTTAGGCAGATTCGGTTCAAACTTTGTACAGTTGACCTACACACTCCATGAGGAAAGCAGTCATTTCGTTAATGCCCAAGAAAGGAGACCTATTAGACTTAAGAAACTGGCGACCTGTTTCCTTATTGTGCACGGATTATAAGATACTCGCAAAAGTTTTGTCCATAAGACTAACAACAGTACTTACGAAGATAATTCATCCAGACCAAAGCTATTCGGTGACAAATCGCTCTATGTATGACTCTATTCATTTGCAACGAGAGTTAATACAACATGCAAATCAACAAAATGTTCCACTAGCGATTATCAACTTAGATCAAAAGTCAGCGTTCGATAAGATCTCACACAAATACTTATTTTTAGTACTTGAGAAAATCAATGTAGGAGCGTTCTTCATTAAGGCGGTTAAGCTTTTATATGCAAAGGCTCTTAGTCACGCAAGACTGGGCGCTGCTTTAACAAGTTCTATTAAATTTGAAACCGGTGTAAGACAAGGCTGCCCCCTGTCAGGGCCACTGTTTACAATTTCTATTGAGCCATTCCTAGCCTTAACCAGAAAATACCTTAAAGGATTCACACTCCCCACCTCACCCAAAGTCCACTTAACACTAAGTGCGTACGCGGATGACGTATCAGTATTTACCTCACAAGACGAAGTTTTCCGGTCACTTAAGGTCTGTTATAAAATGTACGCTGACAATTCGGGATCGGAGCTAAATTTAACAAAATGTAAAGGGTTTTGGGGAGGATCTTGGAAAGGGAGAACGGACGCACCACTCGGTATTGAATGGTCCAATAGAATAAAGGTATTGGGAATCAGCTTATCTAATGATCAATCCGAAGATTCGATATACGCTTTCAATTCTGTGGCAACGTCGTTAGATACATCACTGTCCAAATGGAAGCGTATGTTACCCTCCTTATCCACAACAGGAAAGAAAATGGTATTACCAGTACGTGGTTCCGAAACTATGGCACACGTTGCAGTGCATACCCATCACACTGCAGCAACAACTCAGCCTACAAACAAAAATCGTCGACTTCTTTTGGAAAAGAAAGCATTGGACCACCCAACAACACCTATGTTTGCCGATCAGCAAGGGAGGGTTTGGTATGATTCACATTCCATCTAAAGTCAGCAGTATGCGAATTAGGTTCGCCAAGAAATTCGTCGACGGGAGCGCAGACCCACCTTGGAAAGCTGTTTTAGAGTATAGCTTAAAGCTAGCCGATTCGTTGGGCTTAACTTGGCAGTGGTTTTTTCTGAATAACAGAATACCAAAGGGAACTATCACAACTAGTTGTAGATGTAATCGATGTGATGCAAAAGTCCTCTGTGTCAGTTGACAAAATCGATCTAATTAATGTTCCAACAATAGATTCTCGATTGGTTTCACGTACCGTTCCACCGCTTTTCGCAAGCCACTGGCATACAAAGGGGTTCGTAACAGTCAAGGACTTTAAAAATATGGGCATATGGTTAGAAGAAAATGTTATAAGATCTCGACTGGCACCTTGCTCGATTCATCTCCAAGACGATCTTATAAACCAGTATCGTAGGATTAAAGCTACAATAGATGAATGGTCGTCAGACCAAAGCCATAGTACCGAAATGGGTGAATTCACATTTACTTACCTCGGCAAGGAGTACCATCTAAATGACACTACCAGGAGACTACTTCAACATCAACTAACAACATCGTATTTTAAACTGCCAGACAACTACGTTTCGTATAACTATTGGACGGGAAGTACAACGTACTGGATCTCTTTCTTCAACACCCTCACGTCTGGACAATCATCGGACGTCGCATGGAGGTTTGCCAAGAACCGGCTAGCAGATCCGATTTTTTTTACATCATGCCAAGCTAAAGGCTACTGACGCATGCCACTATTGCTTGAAACCCAGATGCGACGCGATGCATATGGTAATAAAATGCCCACAGGTCCAAGGAATTTGGCAGTTGGTTCGACGAACTTGTGACGCTCTTCTCTATCCTAGGACAACCACACTTTGCATGGTCATTAGCGGAATAAGAGGAAAAAAGGAAACCGAAACCTTAGCAAATTTTCTAATATCTTTTGCAAAAAGTACCATTTATAATATTACAATTAAAGACATAGAAAACGACAAACGCACACCAAACTTTAAAGACATATTTACTACCCGAATTAGGAAAAGAATAATCACGGAACTTGCATGGTACAGATCGAAAGACTCTTATCGAAAAATTCGTCGCGTGGTGGGGCATCAATAACGTGTTCTGCTCACTAAATAAAGACAAGGTTTTAACATGGGGCGAATGTTGGGAGGAAAACTAATTATGTGCTGTGATCAAAAAAGTGGACCTTAGTGGAGTAGACAAACATACATATACCTACTTACTCGTACAATTTTGTGTAACTTAAGTTAATGTTGAATACTGTGTAGGGTGACGGTTTATATTTCATTTGTATCTCGATGGGTGTAATAAATATAAAAAATAAACAATACCACATCCAATGATCCCGTCAGAAAGAGCACATAGGTTCTGTTGTTTTTTTAGAGTTGCTTTAGAGGTTTATTCTTCCCAGCCCAGTCTTTTTTTAACTTTTCTTGTTCCAGAACGAAGTCTATTACTTCACCGCACGACGACATTTTCAGACTAAACTGAATTTCTTCCGGCGATTCCGATAACTTATGTGCGATTCTCTATTAAAAATGCGTAAAATACGGTCCGTACCGTACTTTATATGTTGAAATTTATAGATGCAGTTTTAATGTCCGTACCTATAAGGACCGCTTATCATATGTTTTTATATCTGGGTTAAGGAATGGAATTTTTTGTATTAAAATTGAATGCACGGTTAAGTTTTGAAAAAACTTTGGTTTACAACATAACGTAACGTAATAGTTATTTACATATGAGTATGGTAAATCAAGGTTTACGTTAACGAGTGAGATGTTTACTGCCGAAGCGTAGCTGAGGCATGAATTTCGAAACGAGTAACATTAACTGATTTAACATACAAATAATGTAAAACATTTTATTTCATACTGCTCTATTTCTATTAAAATACCATTTTGATTAGAATGTTGTAGGTACACATTAAAATAAAAGCAAAAGTCGATCACTTGATTTGTTTGATCTGACAGTAGTTTGACAAATATCAATGCATACGTTTAGATGGATGTCAGTTGCGGTTGCTAGGCAAAATTTCCAGTCTGGTAAAAATTTTCAGTCTGGTAAAATACGATTTACCAGACTCAAATCAGTCTGGGAAAGCGGCGATTACTAGATAGTATGAAATAAATTAAATTACGTGATATATTTATGTACAATCAATTATTAATAAATTTATAATAGTCCTTAAATTGACTTATAACAGTTAATTATTATTTATCGCTAACTTTTACTCAAATTTATAATATGTAGATTGATAACACGAATGCGAATCGCTTCGGCGTCGATTAAACACGATACAATTTCTAGAATATTCTCAAATAAACACATCATATTTACCGGAAAGAATGCGTTTAATTGTTTATCCGTTTAATGGCGCCTTGATGGCGCCCCGATGTTGCACTGGAATATTCGCCACAATAATAGCAGGTACAAGTATATGTATAAGATTGCTTAAATATGGAAATTTGATAGAAAATCTTATATGATACAGGTCAAAACTTCTACAGTACTACCTATGTGTAGAAATCTCTCATTTGGTTTGACATTGTAATAAAAGTGTTAGACCTATCCGGAATGTCAATTTCAAACTTCCAATCTGGTCATCATGTTGTTTGTAATTTGTGTAAGAGAAGTAGTAGTTATTGGGCATCTTTGGATGAGATTATGCAATTCGAAAAATCCAAAAAAGGGAGAAATAAAAAAGCTGCGTGTGTATCATTCTCTCCCTCGCAGAATGTAATGTGCAAATTCTACCTTTAAGATAATAATTACAAGAGAATTATGTTGAACAGGTTTCAATTAGGTCTAGGACGCAACGTACAGCGATTCTATGCTAATCTCGCGATTGTCCACCTAATAATAGCCTTTACCCCTAAGATAAATGTTCCCGACATGGAAATAGCCATTTATCTCCTCGCGAT